AAACAGGTATTAGAATTAATTTTTATTCAAATTAGCTTGATGTGCAAACTGTACTGCTGGCATGTGCATAGCTTCCACCAACTGGGCTGAAGGAGGATGTTTCCCTGTGCTACAGTCTGTATAACAACACAAAAAGCTATAGGCTATTACCAGTTCTTAACAGGGCAGAACAATACAGCCACTAGCCTCAATTTTAGAAAATGTGCAAGCTAGTAAGAAATTTATCTTTCATTCTCATAACCTATATATAAAATCATCACCTAAAATTGTCTCACACTGATATTTAGACCTTTTCAACTTCCAGGATGTTTGAAGTTCAACTACAGATAATAAACAAAAATTTGGGCAATCAAGATGCTCCTCAGAACACACGTTTTTGGCACATGATATGCAACTTGGATATGAACAAAGCAGAAGAGAAGGAATTAAATGCTGTTCTGTTATTTATAAAAGAGAAAAGATAATGTGACTACTTGGTGACTGATCATGTAGTATCTTTCCTGACAAGCACAGACAACATAGTAGAGCATGTTTATGAATGGGCCTTAAATTCTATATTGCACCAGCGTAAGCTTTTGAATAACAGAGCAGCACTTGAACTCAGAATTGGCCTCAACTCCATTCGTAATACTCACGAGCTGCATGGACCTGCACCTTTGCTCAGTGTCTGCTGCAAACACAAACGCTGGAAATTCCAGCTCCTTTACACACGAGGACACAATCTGTGCAGAGACATACAGAGATTTTACATAGGCAAAATCTCTTCCCTCTGCGATGAGGGCCAACCAGAGCAGTGCCTGCAAAGGCGCACACCAGTGTACGTAGACAGGAGCTGCACTCATTTACAGCAGCTCAGTCCCAGTACTTTCTTTTTATTTATTTATTTACTTTATTTTTACTTATTTATTTATTTATTCTTATTAAAGTATTGCCGGTTCCTGCACTCTTGATCGCCAGAAGCATGCCTGGAAGGGAAACAATGTTTCTTTATAATTATAGCCTATTTATCATCCAGCAACAGCAATACGGCAGATCCTAAGGAAACATTCCAGTTCCAGGGAAAGCTCGGGACCATTGTTTTCCACCAAACCGTGGCTTAATTTGTTTTCCTTTCCTGATAGCCAATTACTCTTCCCGTTTTGCACTACCGAGCTGATAATGAGCGAGGTCTCGCAGCGCAGCCCTGCACCACGCGGCGCTCGCCCTTAGCAGCCTGGATGAAAAGGGTTTCCCGCAAGCCCAGAACGGCACCTCTGCCCAGAGGGTCACGGGAAGCAGCGCTGCGCATGAGGCTGAGGCTGGCCGGGCACCCAGCCAGCCCCTGAACCTCCAGGATCCAGTGACACCTTCTTTCTTCATCCCCTCTTCCTCCTCCCTCCTGCTGCCAACCAGTAGTTCTCCTGGCAAGTCTCCACCACTCACTGCTGGGTGTTCTTATGACTTTCAACACAGATGAATGGGATGTACTTCTCCCTTTTCCTGTCTCAATTGTTAATGGAATGCAAGACATGACTGATATTTTTTAAAAAGTTGCCTTTCCTGACATAGATGAGCAATATTCTTTAATAGCCATTCTTAAATTTTTACAGGATTGCTATTTTTACATCTCAGGTCTGTTTTATTAGCCCAATAACGCACGCGTTTAAAGATAGAAGGTAAATGAGAGCACACATTATGGCTACGCACACATAGTGAAGACAGAAACCCTTTGCAAAAAAATGCAAAAAAAGATTGAATACCCTGTGCCCTATTAGAAGGAGAAAAGGATACACATTAGACGATACTCATTATGTAGCCAGAAAACTAAAAATGAGGCAATTTTTTTTTTAAAAAAAAAGCAAAATCCATTCAAAGCATGAAAACATAGAATACTCTTTTTTTTTTTAAAAGATCACCGTTAAGGTTATTTTCCCTCATACCTTTTATTTATGTGAGTTCTTTGGTACTGAGGGTAAGTGAAATATTTTGTTTCATTGCTGTCATCATGTAAATTAACTGGCACAATATATTTTTCATAAGGAGTTTTTCATATGGCACACCATGATATAGAAGACAAAAGAGCTCAGCATTCAAGTTTCTACTAGATTTTTTTTTAAAAAAGAACCATTTTCATCTTCATCATAAACACAGAAGTTATTGCAGAGAAGCAGAAGGAAAGTGGAGAGAGATGGGAGGAAAAAATCAAGCTGTTTGTTGACATCCCTGCTCCAGCCAGGCCTATCCACTGTGCAAAGCCAGAGAAGTTTTTCTCTATCCAGGTTCAGTTCTTCAAGTGTAACGTAGAAGTCACTAAAGACACCATGTGCACAACCACATAAAACTTCAGTTCAGCTCCTGCCTCCCAAGCTCATGTACTCTGTCTGATAAGAACAAGATGTATTTTGGAGCCAAAAGTTTCAGTGACAGAAAAGTGTGCACTGAACAACAAAGCAAGGAATAGAAGACCAACAATGTTGACTAAACATTTCATTACTCAAGTTAAATCTCAAAAAAAAAACCTCTCACAGTTAAAAGCACAAGCTCCTTTGGGTTGAGCATTGCTAGCTCCCCAGAGCAGAGCACAATGCAAGGGTCTGTCATCTGTTAAACAACAGTGAGGCCTGTTAAAAAGTATTATTTCTGGCTTTCAAGGATGTAAGCGAAATTAAAGCAAACCTTTAGGTACAGAACTGCAGGAGAAAATTCCATAGCTTCATGTAAGCTTCAGCAGAAGCATTACTATCCTTCATTACACGATACAAGACACTTCAGGCATGTTGTTATGAATACTCATAAGAAAAAATAGTGCTAGCCTTTGAAATCTTCAATAATGGGAGCAACGCTTCCATTCCCATTTAAAAGGAAAATGCAATTTTTCACAGCTAGCTGAAGCTGCAAATGCTTGCAAGGCTTGCTGTATAACTAAATGCAGAAAAGGAGAACGTGGCTTTGGCACAGGCCTTTGCAACACCAGGCTGCTGGGCTCCACAAAATGTGTATTGCTCTCTCCAAAATATTTTTTAATGCTGTGCATTATGGCACCCACCACAGCAATAGCATCCAACACCAGAGAGAAGGCCTCAGCTTTTTTTGAGACGCAGGTTAGAGAACTCGGCTGCGGCCGTTCCGAGGTGCTGAGGATGCTGCTGGCGGGCCCATTGCACCATCGTGTGCAGAGGGAAGTCCCACGTACAGCAAGATCGTCACCTAAAAAGATGTTGTCCTGCCTGTGCAGAGATCTGCAAAGTGTCAGGAGAAGCGTTTCCTGCGTTATTCCTACAGTGAAATGTAATTTTAGTGCAGCTGGCACCAAGAGTAAAGTTCAGCCAACACACTGATTACTCCCTCAGGAGCCTGCGAGGGAAATCTACTCTGAGGCTGCAGCAGTTCACAGAAAGCAAAAATCAAAAAGACAGAAACAGCTTCCCACTTCCAAATCTCTCTCCAGAAGAAAAATAAAGCCAGCATGAAGCTCACACTGTACTAAATTCTCCACTGGCCTAGTTTGGATTTCTTAGGAACATCAAGTATAAAAACATACCCATTAAAAAAAAGTTGTAGCCTGCTTGGTACTCACAACACTGTTTGGGGAAAGGCATGCACAGGCAAACAAGAGGCTTCTCCATGTTATCTGCTTTAACCCTTATCTAATTTCTGTTGATCATCATCAAATCCAAGGGGCTGTCAATTTATGAGTGCACAGGGCCAAAGAGAAGGCTATTTGGTGATGCTTTTACTCCTAGACATAACTGAGGCTGTATTTACAATGGCAGGATCTCCCTGATATACAAAACCTCCAAGCAGAAGTTCATATCCACAGAAATATACACCAACATATAACCACATAAAGAAACCCCTGATAAAGAAGTTACTACTCCACACTGGAATGCAGATGCAGTTTTACGTTGATCCAACATGTTGCCTCACATATATTTTCCCCATTCCCAGAGCTTATGCTATATATTGGGAACATGTTGTCGGGAACAATGATGACATGTGCCCACTTTGATATTTTGAGGCAAAAGATTTCTTAATTTTAGAGATTACAAGTATGCCTTTTATTTTGAAGGATCTAAAATGTGACTTGAATTCCAGTATATAGGAGAAAAGTTTGAGTAAAGAAGTAATAGCATAACGATTAAACTGAATCACCTCTGCATCAAAACATTTTAAAACCTAACAATTTGGGCATTTTCAGTTTTATTTAGTAAGCATAATAAGTTTTTTTTTTTTTTTAAAGATTATTCATACTATGGCGTTTAGTGCAGGTAAAGAATTCCAATTATTAGACATAACTTGTTACAATGACAACCTGCAGTTTGCTCTGTCGTAGAGGTGAACATTTTCATGGGCTGTTAATTCTAAAACCCAGAATTTTTTAAACTCATGCTATTTTATTTATATTATTTAAAGTAATAGAAGTAATATTTTAAAGTAATGGAACTTGAGACTGCTTACTACATTACAAACAGCTATTATAATGAAAAACAAAAGCAATTCATCCTAGTATTTAAAAACTAAAAGTCAGGAAATACAAGCTTAAACAGAAAAATCCTTAAAGATAAGTAAAAGATAAAGCTCTTTTCTTAATCTAGTATATGCAGTTATTTAATTAAGCCAGTATCAAACATAAACAAGCATCAGCGAAAACCAAGCAGAAACATATGAGCTGTGACATATTCTACCCTTGCTCTGCAGCTATGTAAAAAATGCTTACGGTAGAGATTGGCTGAGGCATTTGGAGAGCACACTCTTTAACTCGCACCTGACAATCAGCAAAACAGAATACACTCAAACAGGAATTACATTTACATAATGGCCAAGTACACAATAAGACAACAAACAACCACTTAAGAACTTTACCCTGCCATCCACATTAAATTATGTTCAGTTTTTCTAAATATTACATCTCACCACACTGACGACTTTCCTGCCACAATGTAACAGATTCCTTAAAAGGCCTGAAAAGTGCCGAAGGACAGTGGCAGCGGATCCCACCCGGATTAACGCACCTTCCGCACGGCTCGTGGGCAGGTGTTCGCTACCACACGCCGTTTTCAGAAGCCTGCCCGACCCTGCACGGGAGAACACCACTGCTGGATGCTGAAAATGTGACCTACGGGAAGACTTTGTGAAGCCTTTGACTGGTTGAGCTGGGTTTCTGCCATAGCTGTCTAAGGGCTCACTGTGTAGGAGTTAATTGTGTTAGTTATCTTGCATAATAACCTGATTAATTTTGTACTTCAAAGTTATTAACCACCATACTGTGCAGGATTCACTGGAGAATGAGGGAATTTAATCCGTCTGTTCAAATATAAAAGCAAACAAGAATAATCCTTTGTTTTGTAACTTTTAAATAGATAACTTCTTAAATTCTTAATTATGCTCTGAGTGCTTTGGGGGGTACTCATTGAAACTCTTTAGCTAAGGTTAACTAGACACTTCTGTTAGAAATCCTTTACTAGCCATGATTTAAAAAGTTACTATAGACCGCACAACTAAAAATTGTATTATTTTTCTTCTAAGGTTTGTAAAAGAACAAATTAAAGAGATCAATAAATTATCCCTCATTATTTCACAAGATGTTTTCAATACTTGCAGCTGCAGTTTGAAAACAGTATTTAAAAAATTGGCAGGTCTTAAAACTCATCCTGAGATGGATTTATCATGGTATTTTTACACCGAAATAACTGAGAAAAAGGAAAGAGAAAGGCTAATAGGAATATTCAAATATTTTTAAAATAGATTTATATGTTGTATCTATTGTGAAAAAGCCCTGCCAAATGGATCACTGACTTTTGCTGTTAGATACGCACATGATTTTCAAAGCAAAATCACTAAGATTTTTCCACACTAAATGGGATGAAGGGTAAAGGGGGAATTTTAGTTTTCAAAGTTCATTTTCACTCACTCACTACTAAGGCAGTAGTGGTGTTCATTTCTATAAATGCAAACTGTGAAATTTTTTAAAAGCAGAAATCTAAAGAACCATAAATTCACTATGATAAAATAAACAAGCTGGTGAACAAAATAATGCAATTAGATATATCCCCATCCTGTCCATAACTGTTCCTCGGAGTATATGTTTCAATTTCCACAGCACTTAATTTTTATGGTATTATCCAAGAATGCAGAATAATAAGATATTTTACTCAAAATGAGACATTTCTATATCATAACAAAACGAGAAAGTCTTGTTTTAGAGAGATTTTCTGAGTCACTCCTGAAAGTAGTTGTTGAAGTCACTGATGATAAAGTCAGTCCAACAGAGGCACAGTACAAGCCAAGTCTGAGTAAAATGAAGAATGCAACTTTAATAAGCACGGTACAAAACAAAGAATTCTTTTTTTTCAACATGAGACAAAATGAAACAAATGACTAATGACAGAAGAATCTTTAAAAGCAAGGGTGTACTCATGCTTGCCTGTTAAATCTATGGGCAGAACCCAAACAGTGGTTGAAAGACTGAGGGGAGAGAGCTCTTCTTTCACTCCCTCCCTCGGCCATCTGCAACACCAAGGATCAGTATTTTGGCTTCCCCCCTTGCTCCCCAGCTCCTGCTGCCTGAGGCACAGGACTCAGGAAAACCCCATTCCCTTATCCAAAGACACTTCCTGAGCCTTCTGAAAGGGAAGCTCCAAAGCCCAGATCACACAGGGGAGAAGAGCAACTTTCTTTCCAAAAATGCACAAAATCTGCTCCCCGCCTCCCTCCCCACACACACAAAAAGGAAGCCATAAAAGCTTTGGAAATCATATGTGTTAAGTGATGGCATTCACTCAACACAAATTCTCTCTTCCTTCATTTCAAACGCGGTTGTGTCTTCAGTGCTTCTGAGTTAGTTACCCATACATCTTATAAAAGGCAGAACCACATTTCAGAAGCAGCAGTCCAGCACTTTTGTTGAACTTGAGTATAACCACGATTTCTGCTTTCTCTTCTATTTATCATCCCATTTCCTATTTTACTTCTCCCTTTATATGCATGTCCCACAAACTAAATACTTCACGCTGACACTACAATAGTAACATTTTTAACACAGTAGCACTCAGAGTCATAATTTTTGACTATTCCCTAAGTAGGCATGACAAGCTGGCTGGATTTTGCATTGACTTACATTTGGTAAGTTTGTTTTACATCCTTAAAAAACCTTTCTATGGGCTGTTTTGAAAAATATTTATTGAAAAAATAAAATTCTTCAGGATCTGAAAAGTTTTTGTTATCCTCAAGAATATAGCAAGTAAAATGCATCTAGTTTATAGACTAGACTTCTGATTCTTTCCTCCACCAGTAATTTAATTGCAGACACAAAGACACACAGGTGCATCTCTCAGTCCATTTTAACATTTTGTTATCTCAAGAACATGTCTGCAGCCATACAGAACTCACCAGAAATATTCTTTCAAGCTGGTCTTGAATGTCTTTCATTCCTGGAAAAGCAGCAACGCCTTGAATCATTTCTATAAAGATACAACCCACTCCCCTGTAGAGGAAAAAAAGAAAATATGCAACATTAGAACGATTTCTTTCACGTTAAACAGCCAACATGATCAGTGCTTTTGTCTCCACCATCAACATTACAGTATTTTTTTACCAACACAGGCTTGTGTGCCTATAGTGGAAACCAGCGCGTGTGTGCGAACGCGTCTCTCTTCACGCGTCCGAAGACGTGGAGAGGGCCGGAGTGAGGGCGGCAGCAGACGAGACCCATGAATTCCCGGCAGCTGCTGCCCATGCGGGTGCCGCTGGGCCCAGGGCACACAGGCACTGACAGCGGGAGGGCTCTGCGTGGGGAAATCTGGGAGAAATGAGTGATCAGGCCCTGGGCTCCTGAGAGACACGGAGCTCAGGGCCTGCTCAAGCGCAGGTGACTCCTGGGCTGGGCTTGCTGGGGCTTCCTTCTCCCCTCTCCTCTCCACAGAGCGCTTGGGGATGCTGATCCCATTCCCAAAGGCATGGGAGGGTCTGAGCAGAGGGCACCCCCTCTTCTCCCATCTCCCTCATTAGCTGCACCTCCTGAGGGCACCGTTCTGCACCCTCTCACAGCTGCTTTACATGGGTCCCCCTCATCCTGCTCCTTCAAAAGCCACTGCAGGAAATACCAGATACTCAGAGGAAAGAAATATCTGAGAAACACAAACTGCAGCACAAAGAATGAATTCTTAATGCTTTAAAGCTTCTGCAGCTCTTTGGATCAAATCTCAGACAACCCATGGATTTCCTGCTCCTAGGAGCAAAAGAAATTACAAACTTATCTGCTGCCTCTTTTCTAGATGAAAAGAGCTCAGGAGTTGCTTGCTCCTCCAGTAAAAAATTATTTTAGGAAAGAACATATTCCTTGGCTACCAGTAGGATGCAGGGCTTGATTGGATGTTAAAACTCACTTAATTGCTCTAAGCGTGCACAGCCTCTGCAAGCATGTACATAGATACACATACACACATATATACACATATAGCCACATCTGTGCAAGTGACCACACAACCCAGGACAAACAAACAACTCAAAATAGGTGTCAGAATGAACCACAAATTCCCAAGGCTACAGTACCGCCAACATGTTAAATTGTGAGGTTTTGTCCTTTGAATCAAGAAAACTCAGCCATAATTTCTACTTTAGAAGTTAACTATTTGGAAGGTAATAATTACATAGCTTATCACTGCTTATTCATCAAGATGATGTATTCAGAAAGTAGCATTTAATTTTAGGGGTGTGGGTACATATATTGGTAAAGAAGTGGTTCTAGAATAAAACAACCTAATGAAAATAGATGGCAGGTTTTCATTAAGGCCAGGGCTGAATATTTATAGACACCACTTAACTAAGATTGTCAGCAAACAACCCATGCTTTACTCAGTGCCTAAGTCTCCTTAGCCATTGAAACACAAAGCAGAACTTTGGAAAACACAGCTCTCACACATCCAATTTTAGATGAATTAAGGTGTTTATAGAAGGGAGACGTTAAAATTTATGTTCCATATGCTTCCACTGGTCACTGAAGGAGCCGAATTGATTAAATTGTCATTCATCATTCACTCTGGTTACTGCCTCATTAGGTAGAGAAAGGCACAATATATCTTAGTCAAATATTTATAAATACTAGCCAGATCTTGGGCAAGGAGAGATTTCAGACAGAAGCAATTTATTCAAGATGAGAAATAAAACAATTGAATTTGGTCTAAAGCAAAGGAGATCAGAGTTCTGTTCTTGCAACCAAACACCAGGCATCTGATTAAATTAGTTCATCATTTCAGAGCTGACGCAGCTATCTGCACAGAAACTTATTTTAGCTGAACAGAAATGTTGTAAAAGCTATATGGAAGAGATGTTTTCCAGAGGTCCCTGCAACACCAACCATCCTATGATTTTGGCAGATAAATTTATATTCTATTATTTCACAAACTCTGTTTACAAAATTTTACATTTTTAGTGGATCTGATGCAAACCAAAAAAGAAAAGTAACAACTGTGAACAATACCACTGAAGAATAGTTTTCTGCTTGGAAAAAAAAGAGCCCTATTAAGTTTCTTGAACACTTGTATAACCCAGTGCTTTATTTAGTCATGATCTGAAATGATGGTGAAAGGGTACTGTGGTTAAATGAATGGCTTGTCCAAAAATCAAAAGGTTACTAAAATCATTGAGCAATTCTGAGGTTTGAGCTGGAAGACTGCTGTTCAACTCTGGCACATTTGAACATTAATCATACGCTTAGATTGCAAGTTTAAGGCACTCACTCAACACTTTGAGGAATAAGCCCATAAAAAAAGAAAAGATTAAATAGATAATAAAAGAAAAGAAAATAGATAAAAGTCCAACACTGAATTGATAGGAAATATCTAGAAAGCCATAATATTAAATAAAGGCTTTGAGATGGCAGGGCTGATTGGTGAGTTTTACTTACAGCAAGTAGAAATTAAAAATATACTGGGATCATTGATTCACAAACCTTAAGTACACATGTATTGAGCATATATAGAAACCAAGCCTCTACACAGCCTTGAAATTTAGGCTTCTTTTTGTAGAGCTCACAAACTATTAGACTGGTCTGAGAGATTTCTGAGCAAAGCAGAAAATATTTACACGCCCGAACTACTGACCTGAAAGTCAGGAAAACTTGTAAGGAAATTAAAATAATTATGTCACCCTTGCTAAAAGGATACATGAGAGACAGCGAGAACGTGATGGCTCTGTATTTAAAATTATGCAAAATTAAAGAAAGGAAAAAGCAAATTAAGCTTTTACTGTTTCCCCTAACTGTAGGTGGACCCAAAGTAGCGTAACTACAAAGAGCAGGATGCATATCGGAAATGAAAATTTTAGTGTGAGTGTTAGAGAAACACACTTAATCACTATGCCATACAAGAGTCTCCCAACGGACCAGAAACTCCACTGCTACAGCCATGTAAAACTAGACAAGCTGAAACACTTAGGAATATTCTTCAGGGAACAGGCTTGCATTAACAGCAGGGTGGATAAGATGATCTCACAGATCACTCCCATCTCTAGTTTCTCTGATGCAAAGATTGCATCTTGAAATATGAAATACGACCAATTAACTCAGCTTAATGTGCGTGCATTTCCAGGGGTATGTTCTTTATGGATTACTTGTGCACGCTCAGCATACAGGGGCATTTTCAGGCTGCATTTGAGAAATTGTGTGTGGAAAAAAAAGAACATTAGCATAGCATACTTCAGTACACTCGGTTTAGATTTTTCTGTTCCCTCTATAAAACTGATTTTGAAAAAGCCAAATGCAGCTACTTCTATGATTTGGTTCAGGGATCTTCCCAGCGGAGCAGCCTGGGATGACCTTGCAAAGTCAGCATGACTCAAAGTGACAGCCATCTCGTGTTGAAACGTGTGGCTCCCTCTCCGGTGACAAAAAAGCATGACTAAACCTATTGATGTATTGATGAGACCATATGCTGCCATACCATCTAATATTGCTCTGCTATTGTCCTGCTTAATTTTCTAGGACTCCCCGGCTGTCACCATGCAACCTTATACGAAGTGTGAATGAAGAACAGAGCTAAAGTTGTTAGTGTTACATCTGAACCCACATAGTAAGTGAGCCTGTAAGAATGAAGATGAAGGCCTCAAGAAACCAAATGTTTTCTACACAGCTTTTGTAATGCAAGAGTCTATTTCCAAAAAAATAACTTGCTTAATCTTTTCGTGTGTTTGTTTTGGTTTGTTTTTTTTTGTCTTAAGAATTCACATTCCTGTCTCTGTAAGCAGGACTTTTTGGTTTCAGTTAATATTCTTGAGGGATCTACACAAAACACAGCAGATGCAATTTGGAATGAGGAGTTGTATCTAAATTGAGTATTGGGTCTTATTTAAATGGAGATTATAGGAAGCCTGACTGGATATTTGAGAAACAGTTAAAACCTGCCGAACTTTCTGCCCTGAACAGATTTGCAATGCTTTCTAACAGGCTCAGCGTAGGTGACGACATTCAGCATTTTCTTCATAGTGAAGACATATTGGCTTTCACATAAGAAGCTTTATCTGTCAAAAAGCTTGGTTTCAGGGTGCAGGAATTGGCTTCAGAGGTATAAGGCATTTTATGAAAACCAAATAATTGCTTCCAACAATCCTTCTGTTAAGATTTCTGAAATTCAAAGGAACAGTTTTCTTCCAAGTTTCCCAAACTGCACAGTTTTGTACTGTTAAATATATCAGAAGAAAAATAGCCTGCTTTATTTTTATGTATTCATCACCAAGAGGCAATACAGGACTCTCTTCCACAAAATTCACTAGTAAAATACAGCATATCGAAATAGCACAGACACTTGTACCTTGTCTTATTTATTCAGAAAAAAGCCACACTTCTGCATGATCCTACTTATCAATAGAACTAAATATATTTCACATGACATTTTCCAGCTCCTGGCTTTCTTTCTCTGGTGTGGATCCAAATACTTTTTGAAAAACTTTCCTGCCACTCATGAAAAAAATACTATTAATAGTGAGAGTGATGAGTAAATCCAATGTTCCAAATGACTAAATGTAGTTTATGGATAGGAACTGAAATGTCCTTCCAATAACCGCAGACAAGATGGTTTCCTCGCTCACTCCCTTCTATCGGTGAATCAGACCCCATGAGAGTTTTCCAGTTGTAAGTTAATTCCAGTTGTAAGCTGATAAAACCTCTGTCATTGCCAGCGTTTTCTCCAGTTTTTACTTTGACAGTTTTCACAATATCTTCACCACTTAAGAACTGGCATTTCTTTGCCCTAGAAGTTATGACAAAAACCACTATGGCACACAATGGCAAAAGAACCAATTGACCCTGCATGTTTTCCCTCTTGAGCCCAAACTGCTCTTTCTTCAGTATGTTCTGGGAGTCCTGCTCTCAGATTTCTTTAATTCCAAACTGTTTACAGCAGATATAGGATAACGATGTCTTTGTAATGTCTCCTGTGTAAAAAGATAATTTGGTGCACCTGTGTCTAAGACAAGATCTGTTTCTGTATAATAAATATCTTAATTACTGTCATAGGTCTTCATTGGTCAAATATTCATGAAAGCATGCCTGGAATTATTGAAAACCCTCTAATTTGCACTCGGAGTGGATTATTTGTGGAGAGTGTTGAGTACCTGAAAAATATCATTTATTTTTCTAACTATGCAATGAAAAATCTCCATGTGAATAGTTTTCCCTAGATTTAGACCAGAATCGAGCATATATCTATTTATCCAGATGCCACAAAGTTAAATAATGGTGATTTAATAAGCAACTTCCTAGCACAACTGGTCTAGCTATAAGCAATTTCTTATACAGCACTAAGCATAGCTGATATTAGTTAATATAAGTGAATTTTACAATAATATCATGGCCCCTAATTTCTTATTTTACCTGAATTGTGACTAAGAGTTTACATTCTATCATTCTTTCCTTGTATTTTTTTAAACAAAACAATGGGATATGCAAAACACTGCCAGCTGTTAGCAAATACGGTTTATAGCCAGCTGCACCTCAAAATAAAATATCCCTAGTGACCTCCTCATCTAAGAAACCCAGATGTAGCAGCACATGCACTGCATGACAGAAGGGCTTTGATAATATGCCGAAATTGTTTCATTTACTAATACTGAATTCTTCCTGCAAGGAACAACTAGAATAGGTTAATTTGGGGATTTTTTTCTGTATTACCTATATATGGATTTTAGTAATTATTATAACCCTTTGTATATAAAAGCTCATTTGCCTTGCATTGACTTTCAAAGAACTATAAAATTCAGGAAGTTATGCCATAGGCAGTGGAAAGCTCTTTTCTTAGAGAAGAATTCCAGAGATTTTTTTTTTCCTATCAAAGGTTATCACGTCTCTTTTCTGCAGGCTCAGGTAGCACAGTCCCTGCCACTGCATCACCCGCTGCCAGCAGTAAATCACAAAGTGCACGGCCCTGATTTCCATCACCAGCCTGACACCATTAATGCATGCATGTCTTCATTAATATTATTTTATCGCCAGTGGCTATTTAAACAGAAAGCAGGAGAATGTAATACTGTACGTGGATCATTAGCTTTTAGTTACTAACCTAATGCCCTACACCCGCAAATGAAGTGTAAAAATAGCCTGCAGCCTCTGCCACCTGCTTCCCAGCCCCTGTCCAGCGGTTAATATTTGGACGCTTTTTTCATGGGGCTGGTCTTTTACACAATAACAGCCCTGCTTTCCATTCCTTGGGAACCACCATGAAATGTCATTTACCATGGCTAAAGCAAAGGCCCTGTCATTTTTTCCTCCCTAAATGGAAGAAACAGCTGTGCTTTGTAGCTCAACATTAGTTAAATATTTAGTGAAGTAGCTCCCTAGTCTTGTCTTACTGCAGGGTATCGACAAAGACACCCGGGAGCGCACAGTATCTGACATAAGGACAAAATGCCAGTAATTACATAAAAATGCTAATGCTACAAACACACTTTAGATAACAAAATTACTAAATAATCTTGGCATCTGGTGGAAGGTACCTTTCGCCTTGTGGTTTTCCCTTCTCTCCTCCCTCCTGCTGTCCCCCATTTCCTCTGCCTCCCACTCTGCAAGTCACTAAGCAGCTGTAATGTAATCTTGGCCCAGCTATGCACTGCCATCGTACAGAGAAAGCCCCAAGCTTGGCTTTCCTCCAGCAGAGCTCACTATTAGATTTACCAAATAAGCATCAGTGACCTTAACATGCAGTTACATCTCTTGCATTTAAACTGGAAGTAAGTGCTGTCTCAGACAGCCCAGCAAAGCACGGAGAGGTAGAAACCCAGAACTCCTCTGTCACATGCGATATAAATTTACTCTAATCTGATTTCTGGTGTGGCAGTAGTTCAGCATCTACATAAAGTTCTATTATGTGAAAGAAATAATGATGATTTTTTTCCTACACTTCTCATAGTTCGCCAGTTTGTACAAGGCACTAAAAATTTTATCAGTGCTACACATCTATTATAGCAGTAGTATTGACTTCATTTTTCATTTGGAACAAAGGTCCCTGTTCCTACCTCTGGGCATCTGCATCTTTCTTGGGCCTATATTAAATGTTCTGCACAAGAGGACATAATTTATGGCTATTGTTCAAGCTCTTCAGCAATGATCCTTAGCTCATTTTAAAGGTCTTGACAAAAAATGACTGTATAGTTGAGCTGACATTTTGAGTCCTCCCTTGATCCTTCTCTCCCTTTAATTTGAATATAAACATATGATCATGAAGCCAATGTCAAGTCTGTTTAAAATACTTCTATTAGCTGCATGGTTTAATTTGATCCTTGTCATAATAACTATACATAGCTCGACTGGGCTTTTTATAACTCTTTTACTAAAATTATCATTGGGAGGAACGGTAAAAAAAAGATTTATTTTTATGAGGTATTAAACTTTTGAGTAAATGATTTTTTGTGAAAAAGTTTCATTAAGAATCAAAATTTTAATATCCTTTGCTCAATTTTAACAAATAAACCTTACTTTCAAAGAGTAATGATTTTTTAAATTGGTGAATATTAACAAAAAAATCAGATTTCTGTTTTTGACAAAAAGAATTACAGGATTTCTAAACAATGTGCTTTATTAAAGAATTTCAAAATTTTCTTTAGAAGTTTCCATATTTTCTACTAATTCAGGCATATATGTACACACACAGGCGGATGTGGGATTCTCAAGAGCTGAACATATGTTGACTGAAGGATCTCAAGATGAGCAAAAAGAAGTCTTTCTGCCTGCCAACCCTTTCCATCTCCCACTGCAGCTGCCCTTCCTCACCCGCAGCCAGGCAGGCGAACATATGTTGACTGAAGGATCTCAAGACGAGCAAAAAGAAGTCTTTCCGCCTGCCAACCCTTTCCATTTCCCTGTGCAGCTGCCCTCCCTCACCCACAGCCAGGCAGGTTTCTTGCAGCAGAGTTTATCTGGGCAACCAGCTGCACGTTGTCAGCAGCAGATGGGATGTGAGCACTGCAAGCAGCCTGAGAAGACACTAGGTGGAACAGATCTTTGGGAAAACAGGGCGATTTTAGCACAGAAGAGAAGCTGAGATGCTCAGGAAAAGGATTTTAGATCTGTGAGTTTGGAAGAAAGTCAGATGGCTGATACAAAAGATACGGCCTTGGCCTCTGGTGCGACTGCATGGTGACGATGTTCACCTCCTGAGATGTCTGCTCGCCTTTCTTGCCTCTAGATTCACCTTCACTAGCAGGGTAAGGGACTAAGGCAGCTGGAGGCCCAGCTGCATTAAGTGCTCTCATCAGTATTATTTAGTAGTGTCACCATGCCTATCAGTGTTCAAGAAACGTGTAGATGAGGCACTTAAGGACATGGTTCAACAGGCACGGTGTTGATGGGCTTATGGTTGGACTCGATGATCTTGAAGGTCTTTTCCTACCATAATGATTCTATGATTTGTTGCAGTATTTATACCGTGTAACCCTCCAAAGGAAACTATACTGCAGCTTCTAACCCTAGGCTCCAGAAGTCAAGACTTAGAGCACTACAAGGGAAAAAACTAGATGGTAATTCCAGGAGAAGAGTTTTTCATTTCACTTTCTCTGATCTCAGAGCTACAAGAAGCAAACACAACTCAGTCATGCTTACTTTCCTCTTTTCCTCCGAAAAAGGTACTCTTGCTAGGTCATCCCTTCAGTACTACCAAGCACTTCAAGATTACTCTCGGAATTATTACCCTCCCACCTTGCAGCCTTTCTGAAACCCAAAATTGCTGTCTACCTTATCTTCTAGCCATCTCAATTTTAACATAATCTTAATCCTAAATAAAGAAATGTATGTTTTAAACACAAAGATATTTCAGTCAAGCTGCTAACAAATCATTATACTCCTTTGATATTTGTTCAGTATACATATTTCCCAAATGAAATGAATTGTGTAGATTTACATGGTTAATTAAATACACATTGAAAGCAAATCCACTTCTTCCACAAGGCAGAACTTTTTATAAAGAAAATTTCTTTTTTCACCCTTCTGTTTCTGCAGACAACAAGCAGTGCTCCTACTAGCACAGCTCATGGCATTTTGTACACGTTACCGAGACCTTGTGACGTCAAAAACTACAGGATAGGTGAGGAAACTCCATGTTGATTTTTAACAGCCAAAACCAGGCACAGGTTTTCAGTCACAAATGCAGCACTCCAGCTGGCCATGCATTTTAGCTGGTTTTACCAAAATAATCACATTGTGTTATGGTCTCATGAATTACTAAGTATTCATGCTTACCAATAGTTTGCTAAGGAATAAAGTGTATCATCTTCTGCAATATAATATATCAGATTAAGACTACAGAAAGCAAGAAACAACAGCTAATCTCCTCAAAAAGCATTACTGGCTCTGCTAGATATCAACAGCAAACCGTGGGTGGCAGGAGGGGATTCCTTTAGAGAAATATTGAGTGAATTATACAGATCACTGCTTATAAATCATTTAACCCACACCAATAATTTTGTTACATATCTGTTTTCCACATCAAAGCAAAAATTAAAGCTAAAGCACAGAGTATTACAGAAGGATGCTATACTTACCACATGTCAAGACAGGTTGAATATTCTGTTGACCCCAAAAGGACATCTGGAGGCCTGTACCATAGGGTAACCACTTCATTGGAATATGTGTGGCTGGGAACCGATTTAGCTCTTGCAAGACCTATGTGGTAAATACAAACAAATTAATAAAAAGAGAACAAAGAAATGGTTTGATGTAAAGTTAAGAACCTAAAAAGATATATGAACCCACATCACATAACATGATGGCATATTCCAAGGTTTCTTCTAGCACTGGAACACATGGTAGCATGTGTCATTTAGTGTCTACCTGAACAGAGCTGTGATTATTACGAAGGAATAATAAAGTGTGCCTTGGATAATGATAGCCACAGGCCCAAGAGAGATGCAAGGGTTTACTGTGGTTACCTAAATGAAAGACAAATAAACAAAGGTTCCCATTTCCATAACTACTCATCCTTAGGCACCGCTGTCTTCCATTTCACTGTTACGTCAAAAAAGGAAATGGAAAACAAACTCCAATACAAACAGTGTCACAGATGGGATTCTCCAGGGAAGCCTATGGAAACCTTCCACAGTTTATATCACAAATCTCAGCCTATTTATTCAAGGTTTTATTTGGAAACCAGAGAGGCATATATCCATCTGCATTGAAATAAACATTAATGTTGCAATAATACACCAGAAGATGGTATGTGCAAAATTCTTGTATCTCTCAACAAATATATATTGGCAATGTAACAATCTCAAGAGCAGAAATTACTTCAGTGAAATCTCTCCAGATTGGTGGCCTCCTGAAGATCTAGTATTCACAGTAACTGTGTTTTTAAGCTTGCCAGTCATTTGAGATAATTCACTCCAACTGGAATGCAAATCCTTACAGAATTTGTTCCATACACTAACACAACCATAATCTATCATCTCGTGTAAAACTGGCAAGATTTTGGAGGAGCCTATTATATGGTAAAGACAGCACTAAAGGACATACTTTCATAACAGTTCTCCTATGGAAGCCTCTCTCATCCAGGGACTGGAAAAAAAAATGTCAGGCTATGGCGTTTCCTTCACTCACCTGCCTGCAAACACCTTTTCCACCTAATTTGCTCCTAGTTCTTGCCTCAAGACTGTCCACTTATTCATTCCCAGACTTTCATAGTCCCCTGATTGGGAACACTGGGCAAGCACAAGTAATGGGAATCAGAAGCACACAGTACTGCATTTTCTTGTCCTTCTAAAGAAGATTACTGATTTACATTTCACGTAACTATAAAAATACAGAAACGAAAAGTCATGTAGAAGCCAAAATGCCAGGTTCTGCACCCAGAAAGGAACATGCAACATGGGAATTCACATAAAATGGAAGTCTAGAGTCCTTTGCACCTTTATACTCAATACAGCTGGAGAAGCTATTTAAGAACAGTTAATCTCACTGAATACATCTCCATAATAATGATAGCAAATCTTGCCAGTAGATTGCACTATCCACTGATTATAGCAATTAGAACTGCATAGAGGAATAATTTGACTTTTATGCCAAAATGTATTAAAAAAACAAACATTTCAAATGTGAATACTCATCCTTTGTTCAGTTTTCAGACTCCCAACTCCTTTATGTTTGTGCACCTGGTCACCAGTTTGACCAAGCTCATGCCAAGACCTCTGGGTTGTCAAACGTACCACAGCTCCAGGAAGGCCCAGAAGAGAGGTTGCATCATGCACACTGCTAGGAATAGCTCTTATTCCTATACCCATACATATCCACCAGACTTAACTGAAATAGAAATTTTTGTATTTGTGGATTTGTGCCTACTATTCTTAAGTTAAATAAAAATGGTTAAAGGATTTGAGTCTTTGGGGATGATGAATGCTCTTTGCCAATCTGATCCTGCCTTTGAGTCTCCATCCAGGCTTCTCAAATCCTTTTACTGTTGTGAGGAAGGAACTCAGGTCTCCATGACATGAAGTGTTTGATCCACTCAAGAAATCTCCCATGCAGAAAGGACTAAGGACTCAATTTACCAAACCAGAAAACAAACTGCAAATGATATGGTATCCCAGGCCACTTGACAGTCTCTACCACCACACTGGTTAGGAAAGATCGTTCCCAGTGTCAGCCAGCCCCACAACTCCTGTTCTACTGTTGTGCGACCTTCCCACATGGAATCAAAGGTCTCATCTGCTTGGGACTGCTGGCTCATCCTGCCTCCTCAGCTCCCATGTTGCTAGGCCTCCTTCAGCTCTAATTTCTCCCAAGGTAGATAAAGATAAATCAGATTTTCAAGAAACGGCCCTTTCCTGCTAATCCTTATGTGTTTGACAAATTAAATCTTTTTATTTGATCTGCTCCTCACTCCCAAACCACCGTGGAAGCCCCTGAGGTTAGCAGCTGCACTTAGTTTCTCAGAGGATCACAGCTGGAACAGAGTAAGTTATAAGCAGAACTTGAATATTTAAAAGCAAGGAGAAGCCATTCACTGGCATCAAACAGCATCGTTGCACCAGGCTTGAGAGGTTTACGGTTACAGGCCGTATGGTTTAAACTGGGGCCGAGTGGTTTCCTATTTGTGCACATACACTAGTTTGGAGACTGAATGGACAAATGGAAAGCAGAACTGAGCAACTGAGGGACATACCCACAAAGGCTAAAATTTGGCACAGGAAGAAAGTCCCTCTGTTTCAGTCAGTTGTTCCTCCAGTGCAGAATTCAAAGTACCTAAATGAGGCTAATGCCTCAGAGGAGCTTCTTTGTCTTCTCTCAGAAAGGGAACAAAGTTTGTTTTTTTTTGAATAGCACTCTTGGTGCATAAATAGGGCATTTGCAATTATGAATGTTTTCATTCGAACGTTCAAAATTAATGCAAGCATCTCTCTTCACACTTAAGGCGTGAAAAAAAATCATCTTCCAGACATATTTACAGTTTAAACCCAATACTTCCAAAACATATATACGAAACACTAACAAGATACTGTGTTTTTCGTTTTGATGTTCCAGATGCAAACAGATGACAGTATATCTTTTTCAAATATACTTCTGCCAAAAAAAAAAGCTATATACCCTTTTTGCACATCCAAATATGCTTACTCATGCAAAATTTATTTAACTATATCCTTCAACTAAAAGAAAACTGAAGGGTCGGATTAATTAGCACAGCATGTTCAATCACTTTCTTTAAGGGTTCCTTGTCTGTCTCCATGGTTACACTACAGGAGGAGAGACAATCTCTTTTCAGAAAGTCAGACCTTATGGGCGCTCATCAAAACTTCCCATCCTAATGGCTGGTGCGAATAAAAGCCAGGAGGTAAATGGGGAGATCACCAGGTGAGTATGCAATATTTGCAAATTGCTGCTTACACGCTTTCTGCTGGCAGAGGTGCAGTGATGACTTCCTGACAAGTCAGTGAACTCCTTCTGTTCTGATGCCTTCCAAAAGATAGATAAAAACTCAACAGATGTCCTGCTGCTACAGCCTTATTTTTAAAGAAGGAAGCGAAGCATAAGGCACAGTTATTAAGTCAGGTTGAGTCAGAACCACTGTGGGACTTCATTGCAACTAGGGCAAGTACTGATACTGTACGATGCTCCGCAAGCAGTTACTTCTGTGGCCAGCGTTTCTCCTAACTGAAACAAGGACCTCTTCTGAAGGTTACCTCCTGCTAAGAGTCCTGTACCACGTAACCTACGTGTGCTGCAACACAAAGCACAGCTGTTTTTCAACTCAATTATTAAATAATGGGGACATCCTGCATTGCCCTTTAATTAAAACAGAGGCATACTGATCTATATGTAGGTAAGCTTATATATATTTAACCCACAAAAACTCCTGCTGCCTCATGCTGTGTATTAAAAGAAACTGTAAGAAGCTACTACCTTTCTCAGTAAATATAATATTCTCTGCTTTGTCTGGCCTTATCTTTCATCTCAGGTTCACAGGCTGTATCTGATTTTGCCTTATGTCAGTTATTGACACTGATTTATTATTGTATTTTTAAATTGTATTTAGTTTTTAAGAGACTGTAGCTTCACCCAGGCTCCAGATCTATTCAGCGAGCACATTTTTGGCTATATGCACACAGATATTAATATTTGATGCCTCTTCAGCTGCGGCACTGCTTTCTAGTCAAGCTCATATGACAATCAGGAAGCCTTTGTTCGTGGGGAACAAGACTGTGCAAGCGAGGAAAACACTCACAGTTGTAGAGAGGAGGGCTTGCCAATGCCACAAACAATGTGCATTGTTTTACCTTCCATTATACCTTGAATGTGTTGTTTTTACTACTTTGATTTACATACAGCAAAAAAGGGCTATAGCAGGGTATATTGCAAACAAACAGATGAAGTTTTGTCTTTTTTGCTACTGTTTTTCCTTTCAGATTGCTTCCACGCCTCCCTGTTTAGCTTCCTCTTTATTCATTTTAGCAACTACCTAGGGTTTGAGGTAAATGCCTCACAAAGCTGTAACTATTATTCAGTAACTATATTAAAATATTATTAATGTATTCTACTGTAGATCATGAACTGTCAACTTCAGTTAACCAATTTACTCAGCTACTTATTTTCTAACAAAGCTATATTTATTCATACCTAAAATGTGAATACCTAAATGACATCAAAACAGTGGAGAAGTAAAATGGAAAAAAATACTGACACTACGTCAATAAAGCAGTCAGCTCTCTAATCTATAAGTCAAATCGCGGGCATCAAAAGTGTTCTTCAGCCTTAAAGTCCCTTTTCTGCTCAGGTGAACATGAATGTCTTTAGTTGTAGCTTTATTTATCAGGGCATCTTGAGTTAAACATCCTTCAAGTAAAATAACTTACCTATAATATCTGGTGGCTGAATTCTAATATAGCCACTGGTTTATGGTGGATTATGGTTCATTTACACAAGGTACCTACAGTTAGGGAGATTATTAACTGCTATTTACAGTTAATATTCCTGCAATGCACTTGAACAGTGACTGGTCTTCCAAAATGGAGTGTTTGAGTGAATCTTCAAAAGAGGGATAGTAGTAAGTAAGGCAAAAAGGTACATGTGCCTGAAAGTCTGTCCATATCAGCTTTCCAACCATGCTGTCTGGTCTAATAAAAGACTATTTCAACCCACAAACCTTATCATCTCAGTTATGCCTTCAGACAGGCACC